TATATGTATATATAATTTCATTTAATTTATAAAATCTAAGGAAACTTTTTATAAAATTTTAATTATAAAGTATTATTCTTGGAAATTCTAAGTTAGGAATTGATTGGAAATTAATCTTTTCTTTCTTGATGAGGACAGGAGATTACTTAACTGATTAAATTGCAGAATTAAAATTTTTTCATGGACTCTTTTTTTTATCATGATTAATAATTATCTAATGTACGATATGACAGACGCGATTTTTTTTTTTATATAGGAATGGGTACAAGCGACAGATTTGAGGATCACTCTGGACAGATTAAACACATTTGGCGATGAAGTTTTTGGCGACGCGCAAGTACTGAAATCTTATTACTATGCAATAGCCGATGTAGCGGTCGGTGCAAGATGCGCTTGCAATGGCCACGCCGGAGAATGCGTAAATAGTACCAGTGTCGACGGTAGAACTCGCAGAGTTTGCCGGTAATAACTTTATCTCATTTAATAATGATTTTTCAGCATTTATAATAATATATTTAGATTTATTTATCTCTTTCTTTTTTTTAAATTTTTTTTTAAATATTAATTGCTGCGGAAATTTTGACAGGGTTTTTATATATACTCCATGTTATATCTTGTAAGGAGATCTTATATTAATTGCATTCTGTAAAACAGTAATCAAAATTAGAATCTAAAATTAATTTAAGTTTTAAGTGAAATTAGAATCCTCACGATACTGAATATAGGAGTAATTCTCATCTTTTTGTTGCCGTTTTTAATGAAATTCTAAATAGTGCTAAATTACAGCTATAAATTAAATCTTTTGCAGATGCGAGCACAATACCGCTGGTCCAGACTGCAATGAGTGCTTACCCTTTTACAACGACGCTCCTTGGGGTCGTGCGAAAACTACAGATGCACACGAATGCAAACGTGAGTATTTAGTAAATATTTTATAATAATCTTTATTTTAATATTTTTTATGAAAATTGATTCCCAAAATATTCATATTTAGATCTTTAGCATCATAATATTTCCATTTACTTGATATTATGTCTTTACATAACATTTTCATATTTATTTTTCGTAATTAATATACACATACATATTTTAATACATTTGTATAAAGAATAATAATCAGTATAAAGAATAAAATGAGAACCATGACGCGCGTTACAAAAATCATAAGCGCGCAGACTGCACCTTCACCAGTATTACCTGATACCAGCTTTGCCTTTTACGTGCATCTCCTGCTCGCTCGAGTGGGGATGCACGGCTTGCGGAGAAGGTGCACAGCCGCTCGATGCACTTTTGTCCGCATTCAAGAGACCGCAATTAGAGATAGATTCTCGACGGATATATCGAGGAAATGTAATCTTAAACGAGATGATTATAACTTTTAAAGTGACAGTGACTTAAAATGCGTAATTCAAAATAACAACAAACGATTGGACAGTTATATATTTGTGTAATTAAATATATAATTATATAATTAAATAATTATAATTCAATATTGCGTATACTAATAAATGATAATAATAAGAGTTAAATTATAAAACAGTGCGTCGCATTGAGAAAATGAAACTGATCGTGTTATTAATGATAGCGGATTGCATATCAACAGGAAATGGAATACTCCCTTGGTATCCGGAATCTAGTAATTAATTTTTACATCAGATTATATATGTTAAGAAAATATAATTATTTATTATACTTTTAACATGATTATTGTTTATGAAGTATCATTCATTGAGCATTATTTTTCGAGTAATTGCATTATTTGTATTGAGAAAAAGAGCTGGCGTTTCTTTTCTTTTTTTTTTCTTTTTTTTTCATTTCTTGCGTTCTTTTTTGCATTTAGAAGTTTTGCAATTATTCCCTAGCATTGTTTACTATTCATCAATTTAATCTGCTCTATTAATTCTTACAGCTTGCAACTGCAATGGATACTCGGACAGATGTTACTTCGACAAGGAACTGTACAAGGCAACGGGTCACGGAGGTCATTGTTTGGATTGTCGAGCGAATCGCGATGGTGCCAATTGCGAGCGGTGTCGGGAAAATTACTATCAACGTCCTGAAGATGATTATTGCGTTGCGTGCAACTGCAACGAGATTGGTAAATATAATCAGGATTAATATTTATTTACTTATTAAATTATAATAATAATAAACTTATATTAAAAATAAATTTTAATAGTAATCTGGGGAATTTAAATTAATTCTTTTTAAAATTTTAAATTATATAATAATGATAAATTGAAATGTATAATAAATTGCAGGTTCGAGAAGCCTACAATGCAATAGCGAGGGTAAATGTCAATGTAAACCTGGCGTGACAGGGGATAAATGTGATCGTTGCGCAGCCAACTTTTACAATTTTGTCTCGCTGGGCTGCACTTCCTGCGAATGTAGCCTAGCGGGTTCAGCGGGCAACATTCCTAACTGTGATCCTGTCACTGGAGTTTGTGTTTGCAAGGAAAATGTCGAGGGAAAACGTTGTAGGGAGTAAGTTCTGTTATGTTATTTAATTAAATTGGAATTTTTTCCCCTAGAAAATAATTCACACACACACACACACACACACACACACACACACATTTTTAAATAAGGATCTGAGTTCCTTGAATTAATGTTTATTTAAATCTGATTTGTTTGTTCCCCCCCCCCAAAAAAAAAGTCAAACGCGAAATTGATTCAATGTCGAAATTTGCTAGATGTCGACCAGGTTTCTTCAATCTAGCAGTGGACAACGAGTTCGGCTGTACTCCCTGTTTCTGCTACGGACATTCCTCGGTCTGTCGACCGGCGACCGGTTACTCAAAAGTATTCATTGAAAATATGTTTGTGCGAGGAAACGAGCGCTGGTCTGCATCCGTGGCCGGTAATCCGATTCCAATGTATTATGATGCATTGACTCAGACAATCTCCGTCAACGCGCTTGATCGCGACAACGTGTACTTCCTCGCGCCCGATAGATTTTTGGGAGACCAGCGAGCGTCGTATAATCAAGACTTGTCATTTATATTGAGGATAGGAGAAACTGGTCCGGCTCCTACGGCTCGCGATGTAATTTTAGAGGGTGGAAACGGCGAGCAGATCACGCAACCAATCTTCGGTCAAAATAATCGCTTACCGACTGTCACAGTAAGTATTTTTGCTTTACTGTCTTTTATTTTCTTCTCTTTTATCAGTACGCACGTAATATCCATGTTTATTTGCTAAATTATATTTAGGTACTTGTAATTTCAATATAATATAAATATTAATGTAAATTTTACTTTTGCAGCCTCAAGAGTATCGTTTCAGATTACACGAGCATTCCGGCTACGGTTGGCAACCTCGATTGTCTTCTCGAGCCTTTATGTCAATTTTGTCAAACTTGACCGCCATAAAAATCCGCGGGACGTATACTCATCAGGGCCGAGGATTTTTAGACGACGTAAAATTGGAGACGGCTCATCGCGGCGCAGCCGGTGAGCCAGCCGATTGGGTGGAGCATTGCCAGTGTCCTCATGGCTATGTCGGTCAGTTTTGTGAGTCATGTGCGCCCGGATTCCATCATGATCCGCCCAACGGCGGTCCCTTTGCCCTTTGCGTCCCTTGCAACTGCAACGGTCACGCCGACATTTGCGAGGCCGAGACAGGTATTTCAATTTTATCGTCTTTTATACTTTATATTTAACTTTATAATACTATTATAATTCGATATTTATTATCTTTATTATAAAAAAGGCACTATAAATTAATTTGATCGTAACATACAAATTAGCTGTTTTGATTTGCTTGTAAATTATATACTCTTGTGATTAAATAATTTCCAAATTCAAAGACAAAAAAGTTGATAGAAGATGATGGCTTTATTCAGTCCTTAACAATTTGCTAAATTTAAATAAACTATGCTTAATTGTGTGTGAACTATAATTATAGCTTCATAATAATTTTTGTAATATAATATTCTATAATAATAAGTAATATTCCTTTAATAATTTATATCTAAAATATATAATACAGTATTTTTCATACATTTGTTTAGGACAATGCATCTGTCAGCATAATACTGCAGGCAGTAATTGTGAGTTATGTAGTAGGGGATATTATGGTTATCCATTGAAAGGAACTCCGGACGATTGCAAATCGTGTCCTTGTCCTGATAATGGACCTTGCATTCTTCTGGGCAATAACCCTGATCCTATTTGCTCAGAATGTCCTAGTGGTAGAACTGGTAAGTGTATATATAATTATATATATATGTATATACTTGATTAATCTTTTCTTTTTAAGTTTATTAAAAATATTTGTTTTCTTATAGGACCTAGATGTGAAACATGTTCTGATGGTTATTATGGGAATCCTGAAAGAGGTTTGGCTTGCCGTCCTTGCGATTGCAATAACAATATTGACTTAAATGCAGTTAGAAATTGTAATCACGAAACAGGAGAATGTCTCAAATGTGTCAACAACACAGCAGGCTTTCATTGTGAAGAATGCCTATCTGGTAAGCATAGTGTAAAAAAATATGAAGTCTCTTAAAAGAGAAATACAGAATCTATTATATAAAAAAAATATTTAATTATAATTAAATATTATAA